GGGCGGTGATTGAAGGTGTTTACTGCCATGTGTAATATCTTCCCTTCGTGCCGATGTCTTTTCCCTGGAAGAGAAAATCGATACCCGGGCTAAATCTGGAGGCTTCAATATTTTTCAGCGAAGTGCAAATCGATATGGATTTCTTAACAAGTTTAATTTCAGTACCTGAAAGTGCACATTCTGCCTATTTCCTGACCTTTCTGATCCTTCGGGGAAGAAGATTAAAAAGATTTGTTCAAATTCAACAAATTGAATCAGCAAATGCCCCATTACCTTGTTTTCTTTCTGCCAGCCCGTGACAAACAGATGAGAGCCCATCGTCACCGCGTGGCTCGCGCCAGCTCCCCCGGCACCGTTCCCAACACAAGCTGTGCTGTCCCACGCCCACCCACGAGTGAGGGTACGCTGGGGCGCAGACCCCTCTGCCAGCCCGGGGAGGTGACAAAGGGTCTGGGTGCCACGTGCCAATCCACCCACTCCCCCTCCTCTGAATCCCAGTGGACCCACATCCCCCAAACGAACCCAACCCGATGCTTCCCCCTGAGCAGCCAGATTCAGGGGTGCTGCGGGGCTCGGGACGGCTCTGTGTTTATCCTGCAGTGCCTTTATGTGGTTCTAGGTCATCGTGCAATCTCTGTAAATAGTGCAAAATGAGCACGAGGCTCATCTGGCCAGAGTGAAAGACTTCAGGTCCTTGAGTCACGGCCCTTGGAGCAATGCTGCCGGACAGGAGGAACAGAGACCATCTACCCAGCTACGGTGATAGAGCAAACACTAAGGTCAGCGCCCAGTGCTCCCATGTCAGATATAATGGTGGCTGTCACCATGGGTGGCTCACTGTGGGTAAAACGGGATCTGCGTGGTGGGAGATGCACACAGTGGGATACGGGAGCAGCCCTGATGGGTGCTGGGGGACCCAGCGGTAACAAGGGCAACTGGAAATGGCATTCCAGGCATGGCTGGGGCTTTTGTTTGCTGGTCATCCTGGGCTTATGCTCCTGTGTGCCTCTTGGGAGGTTTTTCATTGCTGCATTGGTGCTGTAACAGACAGAAATCCAGTAGCGAGCTGCCTGCCCTCGCCCAAAGAGCCGCCAAGGGCAGATGTCAGCCAGGTCGTGTCTGCAGCAGAGAGCTTTGCTTTTCACCCTTTTTCCCCAAGTCCAGATCTACATCAGGATAAACACTCCAGCTTCACCGGGGTTTGCTGCAGGGACACCCCCCCGGCTGTGTTCCCGCAGCACAGCCGCCTCCTTGGCTGTTCTCTTCTCGACGTTGTCCTTTGCCCTTCCTGCTTTGATTTGTTGGGGTGTTTTTACCGTTTGCAATAGCTCATGAAAGCCCGGGGAAGTCCAGGCAGGTTACAGTGTGTGTCTATTATTTACTTGATGGACAGTAATGTCTTCTGCGGTGCCATTACTGTGTGTCACCTCAATCCAAATGCTGGGATGCTTTAAAGGGCAGCCGCTCATTCGGGGGCTCGAATGGCTTCTGCAGCATCACTATCACCCACCGCGAGTGCCTGCGTCCCTGCAATGGGGAACAGCGCTGCAGGTGAGTGCCATTAGGAATCCATCGCTGCCGGGTCTCGCTG